AGGGCCGCCCCTGCCAGCTTCTCTGAGCCCCTCGGAGGTGGTCTCCTCGCTAAAGTGACAGCTCCTGAGCTGTGCAGTGCTGTGCAGCTGGTGGGAAGGCAGGTGCTTTTTATTCCCACCACAGCTCCCGCACCTGTGGAGCTCTGCAACCCTGAACCTTGTCCTACCCATGCAGCTTCTGATTCAGTGGTGGAGGGTGGATGCTGGGAGTCAGTATATTTATTTTGAAATTCTACCAATGATTTTAAATAAGATATTTAAATAAAATGAATATGACATGACATATTGGTTCATACTAAACTTATATTAGTAGTAATTACATTTATTGTATGATTTTGTGCCATTAACTAATGCAATAAACATTAAGTGCCCCCAGTGCAGTCGTGAATGAAGAAGTAAGTGCTGTCCCCGCTTTCCTAGAGCTTACGCTCTCCTGGGCAAGGAAACCAGCTTCTAAAAGGAGTGCCATGCACTGGGTGAAGTGCTCAGCACACGTGCCTCATTTAATTCTACCAGCAATCCTGTGAAACAGATGGGTGCTAGTTTCTGTATGTTCCGAATAAGGAAACTGAACTTTGGAAAGTTTAAGACACAACTAGGAAGTGTTGGGACCTAGTCTGACTCCAAAACCAGTGCTACCTACCAGTATTCTGCTAACTCCTTTTCTCATAACTTCATTTACCACATTGCCTGGCTCTTTGATGTTTAAACATTTTTTGGGCGTCTAGCATTTTATATTACTTTAAGCCTAGTTCTCATTTTTTTCTGGTTATATTTGTAATTTACTAGTTGTGGTACATGTGATATAAATTCCAAGTTATCTATGTGATATAAATTCCAAGACTCCCAAAGAATGCCTGAAACCACTGGTATTACCAAACCCTATATATACTGTGATGTTTTATCTGTACATATATTTTATGGTTTCTCCTTGGCACATCCAAATTGCCAGCATCCCTGCTCTTGTGCCTTGCCTTATTATTAAGTGAAAGAAGGATTACTTGAACAACAGTTGACCTGATAACCAAGATGGCGACTAAGTGACTAATGAGTTGGTGGGGCAGGTGGTGTATGCAGGGTGGGCACCTGGACAAAGGGGTGATTTCTGTCCTGGGGGCGAAGAGCCAGACAGAGTGAGATGTAATCATGCTACTCGCAGTGGCACCTGATTTATAACTTGTGACTTATTTATTTCTGGAATTTTCCATTTAATACTTTCATACCATGATTGCCTGTGGGTAACTGGAACTGTGGAAAGCAAAACTGCAGATGCAGGTGTCTGTATATTGGGAAGAACCATGGGCTGACTTTAGATTTGCTTTTCTGATTTTTAACTTCAGATTTGGGTTTTGTGACTCTGAGACCTGACTTAACACAAGATGTTAATTATTTAACTTCTCTGAGGCACATTTTCTTAATTTGTTAAAATGGAAATAGTATTAGTCATCTTGCAAGTTGTTGGGGGCATGTGCTGAAAGAAGCTATGTAGAGTCTAGTGCTACACAAAGCCAGTAGCTAAGGTCAGTAATGCTCAGGTCCTTTTTAAAATTTTTGTGTCTACCAGTTTACTAGTTAAATCATTAAATTTATGATCATGTTTTCTCTCTTATTATATAGTTCTTGGTGCTTTTTTATATTTTTAGTGAATATATTTTAAAGTTTAGTATCTCTCTGACCCAAGCTGAACCTGTTTTCTAAGTGATTGTGGCTATGTAGTCAATTTTGAACACCTGAATTGTTACTTTGTGGTCTTTAATAAAGTAACTTTACTATTGTCTGTGTTCATGGGTTATTCATATATGTATACAAATTCTTTGGTTAATCTCTCCCCACCACCTACCCCATCACACTGAGATTTGTCAGTCTGCTCCATGCTTCTGTGACTCTGGATCTATTTTGTTCATCAGATTCCACATATGAGTGAGATCATGTGATATTTGTCTTTCTCTGGCTGGCTTATTTCACTTAGCCTTAATGTTGTAATGAGGATGGAAGAAGAAACGAGATATTCAAAGAGGATTACAAAGAGGACCCAAATTGAGCTCTTTAATAATTTGTAGTCTAAAATGTCATCTAAACTGTCTTTTCTCCATTTATCAAATAGAATATCATATAGAACAGAATAAAAACCTTGCCAAAGGCAACATGGGAAATCTTTTTGTTTGTACCATTACTTTTCTGTTCTGACACTGTTTCATAGAAGGAGATTGTCATTTGCCAAGATTTGTTTAAATTATTTATGCCACTCTGGGTACTGTCACCAAATAGAATTCCTCAATGTGAATGATCCTTTGCCTGGAGACCCACTTGCTTAGGCCTGTCTGAACATGATTGCTATTTAGAAACTCTGATTATTGCTTGATATGCTCTTTTTTTCTCTCCCTAGGTCAGTAAAATTGTGTCAAATGTTCCCCAGTTGGAGTTTCTAAACCTGAGTTCCAACCCTCTGAATTTGTCAGTTTTAGAAAGAACATGTGCTGGGTCCTTCTCTGGGGTTCGCAAACTTGTCCTCAATAACAGCAAAGCCTCCTGGGAGACAGTGCACACGATCCTGCAGGAGCTGCCAGAGTAAGCCAGAGTGCATGCTGGGGGGATGAGGGGGGCGGGGGAAGCTGGTCGTCACCTGCCCGTGCATGAAATCCCTGCGACCTGCCACTCAGAAACACTAGGCCTGCGGAGACAATGGAGAACGGTTACCAAAATGGAGTGGTTACAACGAGGGCGTGAATGTAACTCAGGAGCGTTTTTACTGGAATGCTCGTTCAGTGTTGAGTAACATAGGATATGCCGTTCTTTAGCTAGAAAATAGCCCTGAGAATAGCACTTATCATTTCTAGATCAGTCCAACCTTTCTCCATTTTAATCTTCTGATTACCTGGTTTCAGAATTTTGCCTCAATCTTTTCTTTAGGAGGAAAAAAGTAATCACAGTATCTCTAAAATATATTAACACTCAGATGATTGTACATAGCTGGCCTCATTGGAAATAAACCTGGTATTCTTTTCAATAATTTATGCAAGAAATTATACTCTTGTCATTTTAGAGATGCTTTGTTACATTTGTTTGTATCTATAAGTATGCATAAATGTTCAAAGGAAGTAGTTTAAAGAAATATATGAAGCTGTAGATTTTTTACTGTATAAATATGAAAATTATCAAAGCTTTTCAGAAATTGGTCTCACCCCACTTATTCCGCTTTAGTTTCCCACCATCACTCTAATGAGATTGGTTTCCTTATGCCTGCAGCATCCTGTATGGCACAGAATGAGTTTTAAACCCAGTTCACTTTCTCACCATACTAGAGGCCCGGTGCATGAATTTGTGCACTGGTGGGGTCCCTCACCCTGGCCTGCACCCTCTCGCAATCAGGGACCTCTCAGGGGATGTCAGAGAGCTGGTTTTGGCCTGAATCCATGTACTGGGCCTCTAGTATGCCTATAAGATCTTTGGTTAATCTCTTCCCGCACTCCCCCCTCCTCCCTCCCCTCTGAGATTCATCAGTCTATTCCATGTTTCCATGCCTGTGCATTGAGCATCTGCCCCCTGGTGGTCAGTGTGCATCACAGCTACCAGTCGAAGGGTCGAACACTTAGCATATTAGGCTTTTATATATATAGATGACCTTTGATAAGCTAATTAACCTCTCTGAGCTCTATTTCCTTGTCTATAAAATGGGCATAAGATCTACCTTGCAGAAATAGAAGAACAGTCAGTCTATAAAGCATCTGGCATGGGGCCTGACACAGGGTAGAAATTCAATAAATGGTAGGTATTGTTTCTGTTCTAAATATTTATTCTTATTTTTTCTGGAATTTTCTTCCATCTTCTCTTGTATAAGTCTGCCCCTCCTTCAAGGTTATGCACCCTTACCTGATTATTCTAACACAATTTTAATTCCATGTCTCTATGAAATACTATTGTACTTACAGTTAGTACTGCTTAAATAAGCACAAAGTTAATTTAGTTCTAGGTTGGATCTTCCTCTGCTGTGGTCTCAGCTGTATTTTAGCTTCAGGAAGATATCTGTATTTTCTCTGTAACACCTAGCAGAGGCTCACACATAGTAGCACTTATTTATTTCTTGAGTGAATGAAAATAGGTGCCAAGTAGGAGGTTAACTGCTCTACACGATGAAACATTTCTCTTTTTCTCTCCAGTTTGGAGGAGCTCTTCCTGTGCCTTAATGACTATGAAACAGTGTCTTGTCCTTCTATTTGCTGTCATTCTCTGAAGCTCCTACATATAACAGACAACAACCTCCAAGACTGGACTGAAATACGAAAGTTAGGAGCCATGTTTCCTTCGCTGGATACCCTGGTCCTGGCCAACAACCACCTGAGCGCCATTGAGGAGCCCGACGACTCACTGGCCAGGTTGTTTCCTAACCTGCGGTCCATCAGCCTCCACAAGTCAGGTGAGGGATTGGCTTGTTGTCATTCCACGTGTGAACTAAGATGAGCTTATGCATGAAGTGCAGTGCAAGTGTATTCCTGCAGTCAGCTCTGCCTTCTCAGAGGATCATTTTCAGAAGCGACCTGCAGGTGCCTGTGGATTAGCTGAGTTTAAGGATTCACTGTCATAAATCAAGTGGCCAAGCATTATATTAGCTATTTACATTTTCTATATTAAAGGCGTCATGCTGTGAAAGGAGTAAAATTGATGAATCGTATAGTAAAAGGCAGAGAAAAAAAAATATAAGGAATTGCAAACTAGACCATTTGGATTTAGGTTAGGGAATCCCAAGCTGCTGTGCCTTTCAAATTTTCTCTTTTCTTTTCTAGTACTTATACAATTGATTGCCAGTTTATTGCCATCTAATTCTGTGTATCACAGGAGTGAATATTTTTAGCTGATTTTAAAAAATTAACAAACTTTATTTTTTAGAGCAGTTTAGATTCACAACAAAATAGAGCAGAAAGTACAGAAAGTTTCTGCATGCTCCCTCCCTTCACACAAGCACAACCTCCCTCACTCTCAGCATCCCAGCACCAGTGATGCATTTGTTACATTTGAACCTGCATTACACGCTATCACCACCTAGTTTACATTAGGGTCATTCTTGGTGGTACACATTTTCTGGGTTTGGAAAATGTATAATGACACGTACCTACTGCTGTAGTATAATATACTTAGTAGTCTCACTGCTCTAACAATCCTCTATTCTCTGCCCATTTATCCTCCCTGCATTCCCAATCCTGGCAACCATTGATGTTTTCTACTGTTTCCATAGTTTTGCCTTTTCCAAATGTCATGTACTTGGAATCATACAGTGTGTAGCCTTTTCTAATTAATTTCTTTCACTTAACTTTCCTTCATGTCTTTTTATAGCTTGATAGCTTATTTATTTTTAGCACTTACAGCCTGTGAGGCTCAACCAGTGCTAGTCTACTGTCTGGATATACTGCAGTTTATTTATCCACTCACAAGCTAAAATACATCTCCGTTGCTTCCAGGTTTTGTCAGTTATGAATAAAGCTGCTGTAAACCTCTGTGTGCAGTTTTTCTGTAGACATAAATTTTTAGTTCATGTGGGTAATAGCAAGGAGGATAATTGCTAAATCATATGGTAAGAGTGTGTTTAGTTTTCTAAGAAACTGACAAACTGTATCCAAAGTAACATTTTGTACCTGCAATGAATGATCATTGCTTCATATCCTTGTCAGTGTTTGGTGGTGTCAGGTTTTGATTTTGGCCATTCTAATAGGTGCATAGTGGTATCTCATTGTTGTTTTAATTTGCAATTCCCTTGTTAGATTTGGGCAGTGATGCAGGCTGTGAAAGAATTCACAACTGAGAGAAGAGAGAGAATTTCCAGAGACAGAGGAGAAGTTGGAGGAGAAGAGAAGTTAACTCCCTATACGGGCCACCAAAATGTTAGGGTTTGGCCAGTGATGGGCTGTGGAAGAATTCGCATCCTAAGAAGAGATGCAGAAAGTTTATTTTACTTTCCAAGAGAGGAAAGGGCTGGTGCATTGCTAGTCAATACAGGATAGGGAACAAAAAGCGCTTCCACTTTGAAAGAATAATGCTGTCATTGCTAGGTGACAAGGAAGGGAGGGGTTGTCTTGAAAAGTTACAGTTTATTTGCTTTCCAGAAGATAGTCCAGCAGATGTGCTAGGGAGCTATCTTACCAGCATTTTTCCCAAGCCTGTAGAACAAGTTTAGAGCAAAAGTTATGAAAAGTTTAAAAGAGGCTTCTTTGAAGGGGAATGGGGAAGTGAACTTTCTACTAATTAGAGACTCACTGGTGGGAGTTATCCCTGGGTTCTGAAAACAGCAGGGAGGAGGTGGATGCAAGAATGTAGCCTGGAGAGTAGCTTATCTTGTCCCACAGTTTGAACAGAGGGGCTGTTTGAAACAGAGGAGGTAATATCTTGGGGTTTAATTACCAGGTACTTCTCATAAATTGTGGAAGGTCACAGCAAATAAAAAGAAAGGCCTTTTTTCTGTCTTTACTTCCTTAATGACATGATATTGAATATGTTTTCATATACTTACTTGCCATCTATATATATCCTTTGGTAAGGTGTCTGTTTAGGTCTCTCACCCATTTTTTAACCAGATTGTTCATTTTCTTAATTGTGGAGTTTTAAGAGTTCTTAGTGTATTTTATAGGGTAACGGTCCTTTATCAGATATGTTTTAGCACACATATTCTCCCTGTCTGTGGCTTTTCTTTTCATTCTCATGACATTGTCTTTTACTGGTAGCCTATTTCTTAAAACAACTACATAACTTAAAGTAAATAACCTACAACAGAAAAAATATAAACAGTTGAATTCACTGTAGAAGGTATAAGGGCGAGAACTAAGTTTTAAAAACTAGTATTTTGCATAATGAAGCTGTTAGTTTCATAACTGACACCCCTTGAGCTAACTCCATTCTTCCTCCTGGATGGAAATGCCATGCTGAAGGGAGAGGACGGTTGTGATGGGCGGTCAAGCACCAGAGTCCTCATAAATTGCTCCTTTGCTTTATCTTTATTGGAGATGGACAGAAATAGGAAGGGATGACATTCTCTAACTTGGATTCAACGTGTTGTAAAATCGGCCAGCTTCATTGTTACAGGGATATTTTTCCAACCACTGCCAAGTATTGACTTGGGTGATATATTTACTCACAGCGATAGGAAGGATTTCATTTTAGGACTAGATGAACTTAATTTATTGTATGTTCTTACCCAAAGGTCCAGGTTTTTTGTTTTTGTTTCCTTTAAATTTTGAATTTGTTTTCCCTATCCCCAAAATCAGGACAGTATGAAAGAGAGTTAATACTTAGTTTCTGGATCTGTGGAACTTGCCCCGTTTTAGAATTTATTAGGTAAAAACATTTGAGCCTGACAGGATCTACTGATCAATAAACGGTCCTGTTCTGTGAGTCTGTACTTGATGGGAAAAATTATCATATCACCATTTTTCTGTAATCATGGCATACATCCTGCTTACTGAAATCACCTGTGACTCTCTTTACAAGCCGATGAGATGGAGCGTTAGTAAATGAGTGGATGCTGGAGAGTGAAGGTCTCTCTCCTTGACCACTGGGATCACAGGGATAGGAGAGACTAGGGAAGTCTTTATGCTGTGAAAATGTATTCCATTCTTTCCTTGGATTAAAAAAAATTCAGTATCTCTAACTAGTTTACGATTATTTTAATATTTCACATATTAACTGAAGTTTTTTTTCTATGTTTATCTTCTTATGCGTGTACTTTTCTGGATTTATTTAAAAAATATGTTTCTCAAATTAGGTTTGCAGTCCTGGGAAGACATTGACAAACTAAATTCATTTCCTAAACTTGAAGAAGTGAGATTGTTAGGCATTCCTCTTCTGCAGCCATACACCACCGAGGAGCGCAGGAAGTTGGTAATAGCCAGGTCTGTTGTCCAGTTCCTCTGCCTCCCTCCCCTGGGGCCTTGTGATTGCATTGCAGGAATGAGACACTCCTTAGGAGGGAGTGCATTATAAGTTGATCCAACTTGTGAACAGACTGTGCTTGAAGGAGCTGCTTTTGTAGTTTGAAATCCTGGAAGGAAAGGAATGCAATATGATGAGAAAAATGTGAAATGTAATTGGCCTGCCAAGACCACTGCAAAATTCCCTCACCAATCTATTCTACTTTTATACTTTTGATACTTATAATATTTGAAGTTCTGTCTTGGGTCATGAAGTAAAGGTAGGTAGAATCAGCTGTCCTTATTTTTTTCTGTTAACGTGGTCATTTAAAGTGTAAATACTAAAAATCAGGCTGTTGCATTAGTGTAAAACTTAAGAGAGCAGCATCTGTATTTTCTGATTATCATATAGGTCGACTTAGATATGGCTACTATTTTGTTATCCTCTGCCTTTCCTGTCTCAGACTCCCACAGACTGCTGAAATGACCTTTGCGTGTTATTCTGTATGTACCTTAGCAGCAGCAATGTTCAGCTAAGGTGTGAAGGGCATGGAGCTTTGATCTGCTCTCTTTTTGCACTATCACAGCAGTTTTGAAAAGAGAACAGTAGGCTTTAAGGTCCCTGGAAGAAGATCTTAAACGGTGTTAATCTCTCTGACCCACTGACACCCAACAGGGCTTCCCTGCCACTCGCAGGGACATGCACATTGACACCTCCCTGAAGAAGTCAGTTTCAGCATCCTTGTCTTCCAGGAAGGACAAGTCCTGCTGTGGGTCTTGTGTTTTTTACGTAGCTCTTTTGTAAATATAATAAGCTGATTCCTGAAGTATATGACCAAACTGTCCCGACTACTCTACAGACTTCTGCTGTCCAGTTTGGTTCCATTAGCCATGTGTGACTTTTAAGCACTTGAAATATGGCTAGTCTGAATTGAAATGTGCTATATGTGTAAAATACACATTGGATTTCAAACACTTTATATACAAAAGAGAATGTAAAATATCTTATGAGTTATTTTTTCGTATAGATTATAGGTTGAAATTATTATATCCTGCATATATTGGGTTAAATACAATATACTATTAAAATGAATTCCGTCTGCTTTATTTTTACTTTTTAAAATATGGCTGGTAAACCTAGTATACATTTGCATCTGCTTTCAGGATATACTAAGCTCTGCGATTTGGAATTTGGCAAATGTGTACTAGGTTTAGAGACTGTGTGTAAATTACATATGTGGCTTGCATTATGTTCAGGTTGGACAATGCCACCTAAAACGTTATTTTGAACAGTGAGTTGTGATTATAAAAGGGCAGTGTCTCATCCAAAAATGAAGCTTAAATATTTTGGTTCCTTTTATATTATGCCCCTTTAGCCTGTCAGTAGTTGTACACAAGCAGAGCTGCACCAAAAGTTCCTTTCAAGAGAATAATGGCTCAAGTCAATAATTCTGTTTCCAAAGCCAAATGTTTTTAATATCTGAAAATGTCTTTATTTTGGTTTTACTGACAGATTGCCATCAGTTTCCAAACTTAATGGCAGTGTTGTTACCGACGATGAGCGCGAAGACTCGGAGAGATTTTTCATTCGTTACTACGTGGCTGTTCCACAGGAAGAAGTGCCGTTCAGGTAAAAGCTCCCGTCGGCTCAGGGGCACTGAAGCAGGCAGGCATTGTGGCAACTTAAGAACTATTTTTGTAGAGCAGAATCTAATAACTTGTTATGGACCCTCTGAGAGGAGATTGGTGATAGGTTAAAAAACAAAGAAACACGAAAGCCAACCAATTTTCTCTCATTTTCCACAGTGTGTTGTGTCTGCCTTGCACACGTAAGTATTTGGCTGCTTCTGTTGGTTCCCAGTTCATACTTCACGTCATTGACTTCTTTTTAATCATTTTCTCTGGGGGCATATATTCCATAAGCCAAAAATTGGTCTCTTCTTTCACATTTCACCTGCTTTCAGGATATACTGAGTTCTGCAATTTGAAAGATTTGGCAAATGTGTACTAGGTTCAGAGACTATGAGAAAGGACTGGAAAGCAGATTCCAGGAAATAGTAAAGGCATTTGGTATGGCTGAGTATGAAGAGAAATGCTGAGGGCTAAATTAATAATTACCTTTAAGTGTCTAAAGAGTTATTATATATTATTTGGTGAGGAACTACCTTTAATGCTGTGTAAATATAAAAGGAAATGCAACATGTATGTTATAGGTAAAAGAAAATAAATTTTCCAGTTTTCTAGGTGTTGGTAACTATACTCAGGTACTCATAAGTTATATGTTTTTCTTAATTACTTTAAGAATTATATGAAATCTCATTTAACATGAGGAGTTTGCTGGCAAATTCCCAGTCAGGGCACATAGCTAGGTTGCAGGTTCAATCCCTGGTTAGGCCAGGTGTGGGAGGCAAATGATTGATGTTTTTCTCTCACATGAATATTTCTCTTTCTCTCTCTAAAATGAAAAAAAAAAAATCCTCAGGTGAGGATTAAAATAATTAATTCATTAATTAAGCTAAGAACAGCCAGGTAGAGAGATGGATAGTACCATGCCTTTTAATACAACTGAACTGACAAACAAAATAAAGACAGGCTCATAGACAGAGAGCAGGCTGACAGCTGTCAGGGATGGTGGTTGGGGGCTGAGTTGGAGGGTGAAAGGATTGATTTAAAGAAAAAAGAGAAAAAACTCATGAACATGGACAGTGGTATGATTACAGCAGGGAGGTGGAGAAGGGTATATGGGGGAAAATGGTGATGGAAGGAGACTTGACCTGGGGTGATGTACACACAATACAATGTACAGATAATGTATTCTGTAATTATATACCTGATACCTGTATAATTTTGTTAATTCAATAAAGGAAAAGAAATAGAAGGTAACTTTTTAATATTAGTTAAGAATAGCCAGGTAGAGAGAAATAGATATTATCATGACTCTGAATACAGCCCAGAAATATTAGGTTAAACTGCATGAAATTTTTTTTAGGTAAAAAATGGTTATCTATCTATAGGTTCATTTGACTCAAACAAACATACTAATGAAAGAAAGAAATACGCTAGACCAGCTGGTGTGGCTCAGTGGTTGAGTGTCAACCCATGAACCAGGAGGTCAAGATTTGATTTCTGGTCAGGGCACATGCCCAGGTTGTGGGCTCAATCCCTAGTAGGGGGCATGCTGGAGGCAGCTGATTGATGATTCTCTCTCATCATTGATGTTTCTATCTCTCTCTCTCTCTCTCTCTTCCCCTCTCTGAAATCAATAAAAATCCTATATAATAAAGAGGTAATATGCAAATTGACCATCACGCCCTTTCACAAGATGGCCTCCACAAGATGGCCTGCAGGGGAGGGCAGTTAGGGGCGACTGGGCCAGCAGGGGAGGGCAGTTAGGGGCCTCTAGTTTAAAAGAAAAGTAAGTATTCTAGCTTTGAGCCAGTCTTCCACTATAGTTTCCTTAACTTCCAGTATATATACGGGCAGTGACTTGTTCTCTGTTCCTGATGGCTAAAGGCCATTCTGGTGTCTATGCTGGTCGCTGTTCTTGAATAAAAATCCCTGAAATAATCTTGAATCAGTGGAAGAATTTATTAGGAGGATACTGAGAAAATAAAATAGGTAGGAACCAAGGGAGGCAAGGATAGCCAAGTATCAACTCATGGTTTGTTTTATATCTCGCTGCTGCTACTGTCACATCTGGGCATGATAGTTCTGGACTTTACCAGTGGACACTTACAGCTCTGTCATGGATTTTGATTCTCTTCCTAAGTAATTAAAATACGGATCTTTATTTCAGAATTATGCATCTGACCAATTGTTTGGCTATATTTAAGGCATGTGCTCACATCCTTTTTCCCTAGAGACGGAGAGGGATTATCTACTCCACTTTGGCTTCTGCAGTGAGGTAGATCTTGGGACTTTTCTCTCAATAGGAACAAATCAGCAAAAAGAATATCAACTGTAGTCTGCCACTTTGACTACCCAACATCTATACACATATCTTCCCCACAATTACATTTAAAAAAATTTTTCTTACCTGCTCTCATATATTCCTTGTATAAATGAAAACTCATTTCACTCTCCGTGAAATTAGATAGCCCATTTATTCTAATCCTAAGCACTCTGTGCTTGATTAGCTACATGCCATCAAGCCATTTTAATATCTACTGGAGATCCAAGAAGGGATCAGAGCAGTGTGCTCACCTCATCCCAGGACCAAATTATCGAACAGCCAGCCTGAATAACCAACTGAAGACCAGCTGCAGAGAAGTCTCAGAACCAAGGATGTACAGAAGCAGCCACATTGAGACTAGTGGGAAGGGCAGAGCACCCGCATGTTGTGGTTGAGAATTAGGCGGGATATCTCATCTGCAAAGGTCCCAGTGTGGAGTGGTGGGACTTACCCTCACTCTGGGCTTCCCAGCCAAGAGAACTAGAAAAAGGGAGCCCACATAATATCTGACTGAAAATCTGTGGGAATTTCATCTGCCAGAGTGAGATGGGAGTCTACTAGAAACCCAGTCCCCCTTTTAAAGGGCTCAGAGGAGATGAGTCATCCAAGGAGAGATTGGGTTAAGTGGCTTTGAGGAGAGACCTAAAGAGATAGCCACCATTGTCCCTGTGCTGAGTCCCTCTCCCACACAACTCACAGGTGCCCATCTTTCCTGGGTCAAGCACTCTGTCTCCATTTGCGTCAGCTTGGGTGGATGCACTAGTTTACTGTCTCGACCACCTGTGGCCCTGCCCTGCCACACTTGTTCCCTGCAGAGAAGTTTGTTGGCTGTGGCCAGCCTAGGCCTGTGGAACAGACTTTAATGGGAGGCTCTCGAGAAGATTCATTTCTTCACCTACTCACCACTCACCACATGCCCCGACTGACACCACCATTCCTGTGCAGAGCTCTTCCTCCACATGGCCACATCTTGGTCTGTTTTAGCTTCATGAACTCTACTGGCCTTACCCTGAAAACTCCCTGAGATACAAAGGTCCACAGGCTTCAGGTGGGTGGCAACTGGCCTTGGTGTACCCTGGGACTTTGGCTGAGTGGCCTCAGGCCCAGTACTAGCACCAAGATTGAATGTGTATCAGCCTCATGAACATCACTTGTTTCTACCCACTGATTCACTGAGAATAACCTCACATAACCTGCATACTGCCAGAGGGTCTCTCAGTGACTAAGCCTAACAGGTGGCCCACAGGTGGAGGCATATCTCTGTGCCTTGGCCCTTTTGCTGACCTGCCCCCAGGCTTGATACTGGTGGAAATCAACATTGGTATGCAGCTTGGCTGCTCCCTTGTATACTCAAGGCCCAGCAGAGGCAGCCACAAACTATGGATTGCTTGGTAGGTAGCTCCAAAGAGGTAGCCCAGGGCCATGCAAGGACAGCATTTGACAGTGACATGCACTGGAGTCCCTTCCACGACACCCAAGAGCCAACACAGCCACTTCTGCATTTCAGACCACAGTAGAGAGCATGACTGAGTTGGCTTTACAAGCAGAACACCCAAAGAGAGATCTTGCAGGCAACAGACCCTGCTGGGATTAATTTCACTTGATGGGGTCAGCTTTTGCACAGCAGTTTGTTCACTGTGGTTGCAGTTAGTCCTCATAGTCAGCCAACCTGAGTGTCAACCCCACCCATGGATGAGATGGGCCAACAGCAAGCAAAACTGAACTACAACAGGAGGGCTCATGTAACCAATGCAAGGGACATTCCTGGAGCACCTAACTTTGGTGATCAAAGAGACTACGCCATTCGGCCACACTGGACACCTACTATAGAAGGCCAGCCTATCAAGACTGGCAGACATAAAAGATGTACCTAATACACAGAAACAAACACAGAGAGGCAGCCAAAATGGGGAGACAAAGTAGCATGCCCCAAATGAAAGAACAGGAGAAATCGCTAGGAAAAAAAAACACTATATGAAATGGAGGCAAACAATCTACCAGATACAAAGTTCAAAACAATGGTTATAAGAATGATCAAGGAACTTAGGGGAAGAATGGATGAACTAAGTAAGAACTTAAAGTATATAAAAGGACATAGAAATCACAAAAAATAACCACTCAAAAATGAACAGTATCTGAAATTAAGAATACACTAGAAGGCATGAGCAGCAGATTAGATGAAGCAGAGAATGGAATCAGTGATTTGGAATGACTAGACAAGGTAGCAAAACTTAATCAGAGAAGCAAAAGGAAGAAAAACTTTAACTAATGAGAATAGTTCAAGGGACCTCTAGGACAATATGAAGTACTATAACATCCACATTATAGGGGTACCAGAAGGAGAAGATAGATAGCAAGGGACTGAGAACCAATTTGAATAAATAATGACTAAAAAAATCTTCACTGATCTGGTAAAGGAAAAAGACACACAAGTCCAGGAAGCACAGAGTCCCAAAGAAAGTGAACCCAGAGAGGCCACACCAAGACAACATCATAATTAAAATGGAAAGTTAAAGACAAAGAATCTTAAAAGCATCAAGAGAAAGACTGTTACCTACAAAGGAGCTCCCATAAGACTATCAGCTTGTTTCTCAACAGAAACACTTCAGGCCAGAAGGGATTGGCATGAAATATTCAGAGTGATGTAAAGCAAGGACCAACAACCAAGACTAATCTAC